TTTGGAAATTAATGAGAAATTTTACACGATCGAATAATTCAACAAACGCAAAGAAAATTAAAAGGCATCGCCCTATTTTGGAATGTTTATTTCATGACTGAGTGTGGTTGTTAATGATTTTTTGTTCTGTCCTTTTCATGGGGGCCAAACATTCTAACAGACTTGTTGATTCTGTGACACAGAAAAAGCTAATCCGAACCACTTAACTCTCAGAATATAAAGAATGTATTGCAGACCAACAGCATAATTAATCGGTAAAAGCTTTTAATTCTTTATACATTGGGTAACTTTCTTTTCCTATACAAGCGGCAATATGTTATCAAAATACAGCAATTCCTGGTACAATATAAGAAACCAATGAAATTCCTCGGAATAGAATTGTCCGGAAATTAAAAGGTCAATTTATAATACGTGTACAAAGTACACAGATGGCAACATGGTAGTGATATTCTTTAAGATTCAACTTTGTTCATGCTTTATTTAATGTATCAAAATGTCATGGAATAAGTTAATATCTTTTTTACTGTTTCTTTGCGGGGACTACAAAATTTGTAAAATAAACTATTTTCTGCATGTATTTTTTCAAGAAATTTTGTTTGATAACCTCAGTTCCAAGATGTCTGACAAGAGCATTAAGTTAAATCGTTCATCATTTTTTTCTTTATTGATTTTTCTTTACCTTAGATGTTGAACTCAAGTGTTTGCGGAAATAATATTTGATTGGTGATTTTAGGAATATGACTGTCTATTCGGTAAAACATACACACTACATTGTTTACAAAGCTCAGCAAATACAAACCAAGGTCCGATTAAAAATGCCAAAACGGATTCCGCAGTTATCAATCTAATCTATCATTTTATTTGCAATACACAATTTTGAACTCGGTTACCCAGAGGCCTTTGTAAACCTTAACGATTACAAAAGCTAATAAATTTATTATCAATCAGAGAAGGAAACCCCCAACGCATTTAAGGCATATGTTAAGAGGGTATTTATATAGATACCTTACAAAGGAAGAATAGTCCGCTCCAACGCCATTTAATAAGAGGGATAAAGTCATTCTTTAGTCAACAATTATTACCAAAGATCCAAAGTTTTGAGGGCCCAACAATGGGATCGTAACGATGCTGCATTGTTATGGGGGTATTTAATGCTCTGAATGCATATCATAATAAGACACAAAAAAACTTGTACAATAGGCCTCAAAATAAAGTGATTAATTCACTTGCTTGTGGACTCCAGCAGAGAATCGCAGCAAATTCTGGAGGAAAAAAAATCAAACTTTCTCTCTCTGGCAACCTTTGTGAACGAAGGAATTATCTCAGCAGATGGCTTTGGTTTTCGATTATGGTTACCTTGCTATATCGATTGCTAATTTGATCAAGGAAATCCTATAATGGACAGCGCTTTGATTGAATTAACATGTTCTAAAGGTTTTCTCTTTCAGTTACGACCTCCTTAGACGGAAAAATGTTCTAGGAGGTCGCTGAATGCAACAATTGTTTCCTAGTTTCTAGCGAATTATCTTGTGGACGAATTCTTTTCACCTTGTGGCACCAGTTTTCTTGTTATTGGACATACTCGGGATATATGGAGATTTCCGTTTATCGTTCAAGTGTTTACTCGAAAGGATTACTTCTTGCTAAAATCAGATGTTCAAACAGACAAGCATTGTTGGTGTTTATACACGCCATAAGTTTCTTCCAAAACACCTTTAAATTGTTTGGTTGTAGCTGAAACATTTGGTATTGCTTTACTTAGGAGAAGCGGAAGTGTTAATTATTACTCTGCAGAGTGTTTGTCAAAGTATATAGAGTTTTTGACGTGAGCTCAGTTTTGTGTAAATTGTGTTCGTGACTATGGCAACTTTACCAAGAACTTCGGGACAAGTTGGAGCTCTCTCAATCCATCCCGGTGCTTTACCGAACAGCGTCAAACGCAAAAAAACAAAAACATCAAAACCGAAAACGGACAAAATTGAGGAAGATGTGAGTAATTTTGCAAAGTGCCTTAAATTGTTTTGGTTCGATCTTTACCATAAGCTTCACTGTTTAAAGGAGGAAAATCAAAATTTGCATTGTTGAATCCTAACATATGTCGATTATTCGAAAACGTAGAAATACATTCTCTCTCATATTTACTTTCTTTAAATGTTGGGATCGAAAGCCTTTTATCCCTCTTTTAAGATTTAATCGACTGTGAGCTAAAATGCATCAATATATTTGCATTATGAAAAGATTCAGTATTTATCAATTTTTTTTGTAAGTTTGCGGGGACGTGTAACTCAGAATATATTTACTAACACCAAGTTCAGTCACTTTTTTAAAAATATATAACGGTAACATGTGTTTGGCTGTTTGCTTGAATTAAAATTTGTCTCTTTTTAGAGTTGTTATTGTAAAAAATAGAATATATCGTATGGAAATTAATAAGTCCTTTAAACAAATATTGATACTTTCTCCCGAGACACTGTACACAGGGTCATTCGTTTTGTAGAAGTGTACTTAATGTTTGAAAGGATTTAATTATTTGAAATTTAAACGAAACTTTAAATTTAAGTAATAAATTTCCACGACTCGTGTAATTGAATGTTTTGCATATTTCTATATCCTGTGTATATCCCCAATCTTTGAGCGTACTCCAGGGTAGGTCTTAAAAAGAATTTTGCATCGACTCATTTTACACAATTGTGACAGTGTCAAATAAAGACCGCTATCTTCTATTTATGTACGATCTCTTTTGTACAAAATTGGTTTGTGTTGGCAAATAATCAAATTTCGGATGTTCGTCTGATTGGTGCTGATAAATCTGCTACGGTTTAAAGTTTGTTGTAAAAACATTCGTCGAGAAACAATTAATGTTTTAAATTTTGGTTCTGTTATCTCGTTTCAGAATCCTTTAAGAATATAGCTTAATCTTCTGATCCTATTTTATCAGATTTGTGAGATGGAATATCTTAATATCAGCACAAAATATTAGGCATTGCATTAATTGAATAGCTCGAATGCAGCCTCTAAAGATTCTCAAAGATTTAAGAAGTGAAAGTAATCGATTAAATCTCAGAAGAAAAGACTTCATTTTGAATACGTTTACACTACATATACATTCGTGATAAGAAGCCTTCATCGTGTAATTTTTTGAAATCCTTTCAATTTTCCCCATTAATTACCTGAATTTCTGTGCCCCCCCCCCCCCCCCCCAAAAACGCGATGTTCTTCGATCTAGCTATATGTCTCTGCAATTATACCAGTCCTCAGCACTAGTAAATTTACGAAGGAGAAAATCTGATAAATTTAATTACAAAATTTACGGGAACTAAGCAGCCAAAAATGATTTGCACTATAAACAAACGGAAAGCCCTTGAATGGGATGACTTCCACACACAATCTTAAAGTCAATAATGTGTATAATTTAAATATGGAATCCCGCAATAAACTCGGCTAGAACTGGTCATTGTTCTATCGCAGTCATTCGAGTGAGGACTTTAAATTAATTCCCTCGGAGAGCCTCGCTCTAATATTTCAATCATTAATATGAAAGAAACATGGCGTTTGAAGAATTGTTTACAAAACATCTAAGGGGAGACATTTTGTTATTAACTGGATAGATCTCGTGGGTTTTTGAGTGGTTTTAATTAATAATCAGGAAAATAATTTTTAGTCGATATGAAATTCTTCGATAATGGACACAATATTAGAGGAGGTAGGTTTTCTCTCTCAGCAAAAGTACCTAATTTTGCAATTTAATTCGTCCAGTTTTGGTTAAAAATTAAAACAACATCGTTTCAACATTGATACTCTGTGTTTATTTTTGTATAATACCAAAGTAATCTTTCTTTCTCTCTAATATTTTATGTGCAATTCACTCAGTACTAAGTTCTCAGGGGACAACTGACTTTTCTGTTTATGGAGTAAATGCTGACATTAATTTTCTTCTCGCAGTCTTTTACTTATAATCATGTGTTAGGAGGTCATCACTTGTTTAAATCAAACATACATTTTCAGACGCCTTCCACGTATAATTCATTTTATGGCAGTCTCATACAAACAATGTTTGATAAGTTTGAATTATGCTAAGAGATCACGTACCTATAAATGATGGTAAAATTGATTTGGTTTGTTCGAGATGTTTTAAAGAGTACCTACGCATTTCATAAAAATCGATGTGATCAACGGAAATAACAAGAACTTTCAGTAATTATAGTCTTTTGGAGAGGCGCTCTTCAGAAGATCCGTTGATAATATCGCTTGCTTTTGTAAAACAATAAGCTTGCACCTTAAAGTAATGAGATAATTTTCTTGACTGCAGCGTTCGATTCAATTTCCAGGTAAAAAGTGGTTATGGGCATTTCCAAGAAGCTCCTTGGTAAACATAATCATTAATTTTGTAAAGCTTTATAAAAATATTGTACTACATGGTTATATGAACGTAAGCAGCAATACTTCTGCTGTGAGAACACTAAAAATAGGGTAGCTTCCATTTATCACGACATCGCTGTCAGTGCGTTATAATTGCTTGTAAAATAGCTGAGTTCAAACAACTGTAACTGTTTTAAGTTTGATGACAAGTCCAAATTCTTTCAAGGAATTTTTAAAGGTTCGGTTCAATCTATTGACCCTTCAGTTTTTTTTTTTATCAAATCAACCTTGAATTTTCAGCTTTTTTGCACCCATGTATAGCATTGCCTAATGGACCTCAATCATGGTTCATTTTTAATGAAACGAGTGTGATATTCTATTGATTTAACATTCAGAATGAATGGCAAGATTTCTTGTTTACTCTTTAACTCTTACAAGACCTTCAAACAAGAAAATCGAAGTATGTGTACTCTAAAATTTAGTTTAACTTGGAATGCAAGATATCTGCGTAAAGTATTTTGATTAAAGGTTTTGTTTTATCTGCACACCTATTATCGTAAAACTACTCATATTTCCAGCACATTGATGAAATTCATGAAATTTTAACATCTGATTAATTTTTCACTGATTTCCTTTTTCAGAATCAAACCAAAGCAGTCGCCATGACAATGACAACGATGCGAGCTGGTCTCCAGCGGGCGTACCTGGATGGTTTAGAATTCATACGCAACAAAATCTCGGATGCGGAAAACGACGTGAGCAAAACGAGACTTTCTTTCTATGGCTGCAATGAAGCTGATGAAGACAGCTATTTGCAGTACCTAAAAGAATGTAACGACCATTTCCTTACGGCCAACAATGAACTCCGGAGAAAGAATATAAAACTAGAAGTGATTGATAGCGAAATGCGGATTGTAACTTTACTGAATCAGTTACGCGAAGCTGCGGAATTCGACAAAGGTGAAATTGCATTTATCACTGGTTTTTGGGAGAACATAAAACACACCGTGGAATCGTTCCATTCGCTTGTGGATAAATTTCAGACAAATGTTCTCAACAGACTTAATCAAAATTGTACGAGTTACAACAATGCGGATATAAGTTTGGAAGTATCGAACAGATACACGGAGGAAATCTCGGGATATATCTCTGAACTCGAACGAGAACTGACGAATATGCGTCTGCTAATGAAAACCTACGATGGTGGACTCCATCAAGATTTGTTCTCCCAGAATTCAAAGTTTGCAGAAAAAATTCTAGTCTCTTGTGATCTGAAAGCGTTTCCGATACTTCGACTCGCTCCTGATCTAGCGGAAAAGATGGAGAATGTTTGTGGTATAGCCCGGAAGTGGCTCGATAGGGACGAGCAGTACATGTATGAAGTGAATAACTATATCAAAGAAACGAGAAACATAGCCAAAAAACGAGAAGAGGATTTGAAAAACCAAAAAGAGAAACAAAAGAAAATAGAAAAGGCAGTTAAAACAGCTAGTATCCTTTTGCACAGCAACAAAGAAAAACTTCAAAAAATCGAAACTGAACTAAATTCTCTGGAAGGTCAGTTAAATGGTGTTAAACAGGAAAAGAAGAGTAAACATGACGAGAAGGTACAGAAATCCAGTATGGCCGACTTTCTGTCCATTACCATGACCCAAACGCGGAAAAACTATAATCTTCAGATGAAAAGACAACGTTTGGTAAAACAAGTTCGTGAATTAGAGGAATTTCTTATTGGGCTAGAGAAAGAGCTTTCAAACGTGGAAGACGAGTTAATGGTAAAATCTCAGGAAAGGATACTTATAACCGAAAAGGTGGAAACAAGTGTCAAAACCTACGATACGCTAAAAACGGATTTTGAAAAATATTCGGATAATTTGGAGAAATTGGAACAGGAAGTGAACATTCTTTCGGGACAGCTCCTTCAGCTAGAAATAATTCAAACATACAAAACAAGCCCTGAAAATGTAGAACAGATTTTTGATCGTCCACAAACTGTGAAACTTGCGCCGTCATTGAAAGAAAAGATCAAACGGAAACGGAAAGGACTTCCGGTCATGGAAAGTTGACACATGTGCGTGAGCACAATTGTTAGTCTGCTTTCAGCATGAATATTGTTAGATAACTTATTCGTTTTAAGCATAGTCATACTGCATTTTTTAAAAGAGCACCTTGCTTATCATTTTTTCACAGAATGGTAAACTAAATATTGTTATTGTTATATCTACAGTTGTTGGTTAAGAAATTGATACGTGTTCGTTCAACAGATATACATACAGCTACATCACATCTCAAAATCCGCATACCTCATGTGTAATTGTGAAATATGCCAAAATACGCAATAAAATGTTACAGAAATAAGTTTTTGTTGATGCTCAAAAAAATTTATTTGATATGAATATTCAGCTTTACTGGCTGAAATCTCAGTTTCACTATAGTATCTGGATATTAAATATTTCTGGTATTTCTATGGCAATGATAGCTGCAGTTGTGTCTATGGTTGTCTTCTCCAGTTCCTCATCCTATTATTAATTCTACTACGGTTATTGCCGAGATCAAAGAAATGCCGCGGACATTATTCTCCAATAAATCACGAACGTCATCAAAAAATTATCAGATCAGAAACACATGTCAAATCTGTACAGTTGAAATAAATATTTCACTGTATAATCTAATACTTATTTAGACTACATCGATGTGTTGTCTTCCGCAGTCTAAACGTGTGTATTGCCTGAAACAGCTGATAAATATCCATTTTTATAGCCAAATGGGGCTGTTCTACGGGCCTCCCCACAACATTTACACTCCCGTGATTTTACTGATAAATCAATGAAATAGACAACTGATTTTGTTATTTTTCATTCATAAAAATTAATCAATCTATGTTACTAGCAAATTTATAAATAATTAAAGGATATTTTTAATCCAACAAAAGTTAAAATCGTCTGCATTTTATGCAATCAATTGACCCTCTGGTGTTAAATGGAACAGCGAAATTGCGACATGGTGACCTAATTCGTGTCTCTTTAGAGAAAACGATCACCTGTATTTTAGAGCCGTTAGTAGAATAGAAATAAAGTCCTTGTTGTCGTGAATGATGCAGGATAACCTCCTCGGTCTCGAAATGTTGTCTGAAATATAAAAGCCTCGGCTAACGCCTCGGCTTTTATATTTCAGACAACATTTCTCGACCTCGGAGGTTATCCTGCAACATTCACGATAACGTGGACTTTATTTCTTAAATAACACACAAAACAATGAGCAAACTATAACTGCACGGATACTATGTTCCAACATATCACAAAATAAACAAAATTTGGCTTCACATATAGGCAAAATATCTATACTGAGTCCATGTTACTACTCTACATAGCAAAGTGATTTAAAGTAAAAGGCGAAAATGACCAGCTGTGATCAATACTGTAAACATTACAAAACGTGAAAGGGCGAAGAAAACACAATCGAAACAAAACCCCCAAAGCAGACGTCTGAAAATATTATAGGTGGGATCAGAAGCTTACGAGAAGTAAGCATCCCCAGTCGACCTGTCACAATCACATGAACCCTCTCTATTGATCTGAGCAGGTAATTATAAACAGAATGATTTGTATTCAAAGATGGCCTAATTGGTATGAAGCATGTCAGACAAAATACGACCTAAGAATATGTTCATTACAAAGTCATTATTATAATGAGACCATATAATTTCAAAAGTGCTAAGTAAACGAGATTGTAAAAAGCTCAAGCAACATCAACTTATTTATCAATAGCCTGTGTTGGTTTAAAAATTGAGCGTACTCAGAACATGTTCTTGCGTACGGGAATCGGTGTTGAAAGACACAAACACCATACAGGTGAGTGGTGACAGTGGAATATTACTACATTAATTGTAGTCGTTCCGTTTGTCATACAGTTTAGTTTTTAGTTTACCATTAACGTCTGTAGTCAGTACAAACACCCAAATATGAAACATATTGGCAGACTTTCGAGTTCACTGGGTTCGTGTTGATATGTAAATGAAATTAATTGCTAAATTGCCATACTGAAGGCCACAGAAATTTCATCTTCTCATGTAGAGTTTTTAAAAATAATTTCTGCTTCATATGAATATAAATACAGGTCAGTTAAAAAGACACATTTGGTTCCTCTCGCAATTGTAACATTGGTTTCAAAAGACTAAGAAGATGTTGTCAATGAGGAACTCCAGCAACTTTTAATATCCACTTCAGAGTAGTTGTATGTAGAATCAGATTGATTCCCGATCACAAGTTATGAAAATTTTCGACTTCCTTTTTATTGGCAGAGCAGTTGTCTATGATGTCAAAAATCCTAGTCTTTATCAAACTTACTGTGCGGAATGTTACAATTATATATACTACACAATCTATTCCTAAAATCAACAACTTTGCAGTGTCGTATTCTTTTCTTCGCAAGATTTTTATTTATAATACCTGTCACATCAAAACCGCGGTTTTACACCATTTCACAACTTTGGCATATTTTATTCTTTTTTTTTCGAAGTGCAAACGCGGCAAGATGCAATCCAAGACACCCTGACACGTATATATAGCATGAAAGAAGATTAGACAAATTACAGAAATACTCGGATGTTTATTGCCTTATAAACAATCCTCAAAAATGCATAGATTTGAATACAAAAACGAAAGTTTCTAGAACACAATTCGAACACGTAAATCTTTTAAAACTTAATATCATTCATAAAAAAAAAAAAACAAATGCATCTAATGGAATACTAACTTTATGTCGTACAATGTCAAGGTTTAAAGCATTATAAAAAAGGACAATTCTCATTTACAGAGTTCAAAACTTGCAAAATATCAACAAGTACTTTCTACATCAGCATTGAACTTAAAACTATTGCATCTATTTGACAGAATGCAGCTGCCTTTCTTTCGATAAAAGTAAACAGTCTCAAATTGTACAACAATGTACCACTTCAAACCCCAAAACAGCTTCAAATCTGGATAAAAAGTTTTTTCATGAAAATTTATCCCCCCCCCCCCCTAAAAAAAATGTAAACAATTATTGTTCTCACACAAACTGCTATTAACCTGATGATCCAGAAGGCGCCATTTTAAAATCTACTGCCGATTATTAATACATTTACAAACAAATGGGATTGTTAATTTCAATAATTCAAATTGATTTCAACAATTCAGAACATAAAGCAGTGATATCACTTAACCTTAAAATCTCTTATTTTCGTGGGTGCCTAAGTTTTCATTGTTTTCGTGATATGAAGAGACCCAAAAACTTTTGAAAAAGTGACATCATCGGATATGCGATATTACATGTAATTAGCATGGAATTACATGGAATAGGCAATGTCACCGATTCAAATCATTATTTAAATATACATAAATCACCTATTCAAATATGATATCACCAATTCCAATTAGTGATATCACCTATTCAAAATCAATAAGTGACATCGCTTATTCAAATAGGTAATTCATGTTTTCTTCCATTCTGTAGACAGATTCTCAATGGGGAAAATAATTTCATTCAGCTATTTAGACTTTTTCTCTATTTAAATATAGAATCTTTAAGTAACATGTATTTTTTGTGCAAAACTACTGAAGATCATGGCCGTAGGAACGGGGGGGGGGGGGGCGAGGGCGTGCCCCAATAATTTTGCTGATCTATAGATTACTATAGAAAACATAGCTACTATATGCTTGTGCCCCCTAAATAAAAACGTCTGATGACCCTTTTTTTAATTGCTTGTCAAGGAATTTTTGGTAGTTGATAGTGTCCCCAACTGAAAATGTATGGCTGTGCCCCCTCCCCACCCCCAAACTGAAACTGCTTCCTACGGGCCTGAGATATAATCACACATGATGATTCAGCTTGTCCATAAACTCGTTTTACAGGTAAATGGATCTCGGGCATCTTTAAAAAAATCTCCATATTCACTATCATTGACACACTTGTGGAGAAGAGCACAAGAACAGTTGTTTTCGACTTAAAAGCTCCATATTCACTGATATACATTTATTGACTGACTTCGAGGGCAACGTGCGTTTTGTCGGACCCAAGAAGCAAACTGTTTGCCTGAGGCCGTTGGCAAACAGTGTGACGTTAAAAAAACGTCACAGCGGTCCACTATCTCTCCGACAAGTCCAATATCTCACTCAACGCTCCAACATCCATTTTTGGACCGCTCAGTAAATCATTGGAAATGTTATACTTTTTAAGCATAGATTTATATAGGAAACAATTTTTAAAGGTATACCAATTATTTATCACTAAGAGATTGCAATTCTATGAATCAGACTGGCGAGATCAGCTACCAATACTGAATAATACTGAATAAGTGAAATCACCTATTAGTAATGAATAAATGATATCACCTATTAATAATGAATATGTGATATACCTATTAATACTGAATAAGTGATATCACCTACTGGAACAGGGGATAAATGTGACATCACCTATGGGTGATTTCATTGATTCATTTAAGCAATATTACTTAATCAATTGGTGATATCACATAATTGCAATCAATAACAATCCATTTACAGTAATCAAGTAGTACATGTAGTATAATTTGACTACTATTTCCCTTTCTTTAAAAATCAATGCGATGGATGCTTAATATGAATCTATTACTGCCACCAATAACCAGCCCACATATACATGCACAGGGTTGTCCCTAAGAATTGAAATAGCAGGGGACATTAAAAACATAGAAGAGGGTTCAGGGTCCCTTAACAGGGAATAGAGGGGGAATACCAAAATAACTGGGGAATTACGCCATTATAGGCGGGGAAATTTCCTGGGTCTTAGGGACAACCCTGCATGCATAAAAATATTTGTCTTATTGACTTTCTCAAACAATTTTCACATGTATGCATCTAACAACAGATATACACTAACAATCATAGCTTTACAACAATATGTTCTTCAATAATCACTTCTATAGCAATATCACCTATTTTTATGTTCACAGTTTATTCAGAAAGCTTCTTCTTAAACAACTTGCAGTTCATGCAAAAAAAATCATGTTTAGTACAACTGGGAAGCGTCTAATGGAAACAATGAGGCAAGCAAATGCAGTTCATTCAGACATGAGTATTTCAGATAAAGGATACAAAATAACAATATGTAAATTTTTGTCTTGAATCTTTCATTTAACCCCACAATGAATAGAAAACGTTTTAACATTTTTTTTCAAAGCATGGCACCAATGGCTGTGTACATTTGTACTCTCTACAAATGTCTTCAAGACAAGTATTTTGACAAAAAAATCATGTGACCATTCACCAATATCATAAAAATTACATGCAAAACTATACTGTCTTATAAAGCATTTTTGTTTTTTTCCATTCAGTGAAAAAAAAATGACTTACAACAAACAGTTTCTATACAAATTCTGCTTTTGAGTGGTCCTGAATTATTCTATACTCTCTGTTATTGGAAAACATTCATTTTTACAGTATTTTTTTCTTGGTTCAATCCTCAAAAAAAAAAAAAAAAAAAAAAAAAAAAACGCTGCTAGAGTAAAACATCATAGTTTACTTACTAAGCAAGGACATTATAACACAGTTACAGAAAATAGACTTGTAATGAATTCACACTTACAGCAAAGTGATTTTTCTTTCCCTGTAGTTTTAAAACATATTATGCATTTGAAAGTTATGATGACAAAACCATGAATTAGATCTATCAGTATTTCCACATACAATGTATAATATTGACAGTCAAGCCTCATTAATCCAGACTTTTGTGTTCCCAAGCAAATCATCTGAATTTATGCATCCCCAAGTTTACTCAAATAATTATCCCTTTTATAATTGGTAGATATAAATTCTGTTCCCTACAAATTTTGTCAGGCAGGGGAAGTATCCAGATTATTAGTATCTGAATTATATAATATTTATAATAAAATCATATTTTGGTGTTTATGATTCACACAAAATGACTGCACCAAAAGTAAATTCCACTAAAGTACCATGTACAACTTTAAAAGTTTTAACAAAATCTTCTCAAATAATTTTTGCCATCTTGTTGTACTGTGAAATCACTTATTTTCATGAGGATTTAATTTTCCTTGTTTTAATATTGTAGTATGAAGAGATCTGTTACTTTATGATCTCCATGAAATGTAAAAATACTCAAAGTTAAATAACTTTACACTTCTTCAATCATGAAATCAATTCCCCAAGAATCAAATATTTTCCAAAACCACAAAAAAAAATTGACCCCACAAAAATAAAGGATTTTACAGTACCAAGTACCCTTACAGAATCGTCTGATTATTTTTCTTTGGAATTTGACTACTTCTGGGAGCAGAGCTTGCCTTACCAAGTTATAATGTGCTATTTTCTAATGCATTAAATTTTACTGTATGGCAACATTCATTTCAGTTGTATATGTTATGGCTGCATTTACACAAAATGATGGAATCATTAATCAGGCTTTTTCATTGCTTCTGCAAGAATTTTCAGTCTCTGTATTTTGCTGTTTGTAGATGATAGAGCTGCACTCACACTTCCTGGACTTTTTTCCTGAGTATTCTCATTCATACATGTAGATGATGCATTTGAACTGTCATTATTGGATGACTTTTGAACACTAGTGGTGGATCTAGAAGAATTGGAGTGGACGGACGATAAAATACGATTAGTAAAGAATGCTTCCTGAACACTGTTGGTGGGTTTACGAGGAGTGGATGACACTGATGAATTGGTCAAGTCTTTAGAATGTTCTTTGTCAGCAGACGATGTAGATCTCATTGAAGATTTAGCAATAATCGAAGCTAGTTTGGAAAGATTTGCAATAGAAGGTGATGTACCATTTAACACAACTTTACTTCCATTTTGTTGAAGATTTTCACAAGACTTCTCACTGGTGCTGACAGGTGTTGCAGGAAGACTAACAGATCTGTGACTCTGATTTGAAATTGGTGGTTCTGACGAAGATGGTAAGCTGGTATTGAGAACTGATCCCCCACTTTGGGAGGGTGACGGTGATTTAGCCTTGGATATCTGGCCTCGATACAGACACCTGTGCTGAGTTAGGTGGCCTGTGTTAGTGGATCTTTGATGAGAACTTGCAATGCTGCCTTGTGTCAAAGTGCCAGATCCTTGCACACTTTCATTATCATTACTCACTGAGTTTTCATGTTTGGTTAAATAGTTTTGCATGTATTGCTGAGGAGAAGTAAGGTTTCCTTGAGTATCACTTGCAACAGATGAAGGACTTCTCACTGCAGCAAAACTTTGGAGTATGTTAGAATCTCCATGGCTTGTAGGAGTTTGGACAGTATTTTGTTGGAGATCATAATTAGACTGTTTAATTGCATTCTCTTTGGCAGCCATTGCTAGAAACTTCTTCAAGAAAGTGTCTCTCTTTTCCTGACTGTCAATAACAAGGTTCCTCCTAGTACCTCCCCAATCATCATAATCCAATTCCTCATGCTGTGAATTTTCTACGTTCTGATTATCCATGACATACTGAGCCATTTCCAGCTCCAACTCATCTATCTCCCTCTGTCTTCTCATAGTTGTCTTGTCATTTTTCTTTGCATGCACCATAACACCAGCTGGCCTAAATGCATATGCCTCATCATCTTCCTCCTTATGTTCCAGTTTCTTGGGATCCGTCTGCTTCAGAACCGATCTTATCAACGTCCCAGTTGACACTTCCTCCGATTCAGACTCCTTCATCGCTTTCTGCATTTCCAAAACTTCTTTCAGATGAGAAAGACCTTTCATTGGAGATGCAGGGCTTCTCTTTGCTTCACCATTTAAAACAGGCACTTCTGCTGTGTTATTCTCAGATTGTTTCTGCTGCATTTTCTTGACTGGGCTGATGTGAGGAGTGATGGTTGATGAGGAGGAAGAATTAACAGATCTCTGACTTTCTATCTTTTCTGGAGTACTCTCTTTCTTGTGATTTTCCACATTGACTGGAGTTCCATCCTCATTTACAAACTTTAAATGACTAGCCACCTGTTTGAACATATGCTGACCTGAAGTCAAAGAAAGCACACTCAATCAATAATTCACTTTTAAAGTATAAATGAACATAAAAAATGTGTGCAAATCAATAATCTTTAAGTATCCATCATAAATCAGTGAACAAATTCTGACTTGAGTAAAATTTCTTGCTGGAAGAATTAAATAATGAATGCACAGAAGAGTCTTTAAAGTTTACCCTGATATGGTCCTTGGTGCCAAATAGAATCATGGCTAATGATTACTTTGGGATCCCGTATAGGTAAAATGTTGTCTGTGAAACCTTTCACATTAGAGGTTTCAGTATCTTGCCTTCTGTTACTCCATTGATAACTGTGATAGTGAGGCATCAGTTTTCGTAGGCCTTGGAATGCCATGGGTAGAAGATTGGCCTGCAGAGAGATATAAATTATTTTATTCAAAATGTGTTATTTTGGTGAAGGTAGCAGGAGATATACTTTGCCAGTCCTAATATATCAGCTAATCTTCTTTTTCTACATATAGTAGCATAGTCTTGTGGATGAAGGATACATTACAAAACTTTTAGACTGAAGGACACACATGTTTTCTATTTTAACAAGAGGCCCGAGGGCCTTTACAGTCACCTGTCTTAGTATAAACACAACACTGTAAAGGATCCATAGAAGCATACATGAAATGAAAATAAACTGATAGACATGGCACGACATCAACGCTTGTCTGCTACCAGTGAAAAAAAATTACGGACAAGTGAATTTTGCTGTCCGATTGGACAAGCGCATTTTAATGTAAAGGAGTCTCTAAATAATAAAAAGAACAACTGTTGAAAGTTAATCAGTAGTTTCAGGAAGCTGTACATAAAAACCGGACTTCGATCCCGATAGGGATCACTTTTAATTGAGTTCACATTCGATTGGGATCGAAGTTCACTAATTGCATACTACATGTACTGAAAAGGCATGGAACTTACGAACTCAACGAAGTTTGGATTCTGTTTGATGTTGACAGGTTCACTTGTGGACATTTTTGTTGTTGTCAGAACAGAAAGCCTGGATAAAATTATGTTTTATGTGTTTGTTGTACTTATCAATAACATCACGAATCAATCAAGCACATGTCATGTGTAATGGACTTTATTTTAGTTTTCAAGTTGACAGTATTAGATCTTTATTGAAACATTTTCTGACAAGTGAAGTTGAAGTTCGGACAAGTAAATGTCTTGGTCACTTGTCCGAATGGACAAGTAGGAAAAAAAGTTAATGTCGAGCCCTGATAGATGAAGATACATGTATGTTGCCCAAAAGCAAGAGATATGGGATGTAAGGGATAAACAAAATAGTTAGTTTAGTACTCAGTAACAAATCATGAAGTAGATGTAAAAAATGTTGATGCAGCTAAATTCCTCTCATAAATATCTATAAGTACATGTATATAAAATTTGATAAAATATCTTGAATAGTTTCTTTGAAATTTAGCTTAACACAAATTGAAATCAAGGTAAAAAAATGTCAAGGTCAAAAAATGTTTATACAGTTGAACAGCTCTCAACAATATGTATAAGCATATAAGATGTGATAAAAATATCTTCAGCTTCTTTGAAATTCAGATAATTACTAATAAATTTAAGAAAAGTAACATCAAGGTCAAAAGAAAAGTCAAAGTCAAAAAATGTTGATGCAGTTGAATACCATCAATATGTGTCACCATACGAAAGTTGATAAAAATATCTTGAATAGTTTCTTTGAAACTGAGCTAAATGCTAAATGTGACAGAAGGATGGAAGACAGACATTACAAACACTATATGCCTCAGACATATTCATGGTGGGGCATAAAAAAGCAAACATTTGCAAGATTATCTATTTTACAGCTGACCTGGTGCATTTTGGCATCTTTCATGGAGGAGTCTCGGACCTGAGACAGATAAACATCAACACCTGCTACATATTCTGCCATCATTTTCTCAATGAGGACTTGTCGCAGCGGCCGTAAATGAACTACATTTTTAAAGAGAGCATCTAACAGTGGTCGGCTGATGGGACGGGTGGCCCAAATCTCTTCATCACTCTAATCACAAAAACAAAATAATTTTAATTATAACATTTACATATATACATGTACTGTAGATGTACTCTGTTCTGCATATGATTAATTAATCCTATGTACACAGGCACAAATTGCCATCATAAGTGTCATTTCTTTCTTGAATAGCTACATGTAGCTGATTGGAAGAATAAATACAAGGATCTGGCATTAATGAATTAACCATACAGTACGGATGGTGGAAACTATGACATGGACAATATTCCTTTGGTAATGGACGTTCAATCTTTTCATATGCATAAACTATCAAAATATGCATATTGAGAAATTCAAACTTTGAATCACTGAAACACCAAAATTATTAATTTTCTTGCAAAGAAATTTAAATGAATGATTTTATTAGCATGTAAACTTTGATATATAAAAAATTTTTGAGTGAAGAAAAAAATTCTTAAATTATCGGACATGAAACAGCATGAAAGGCACTAAAATATGTACAATTACATTATCTTTCAAAAAACAAGAATAGCTTTTTTGTCAATTGATTGTTTTTCAATTAATAAGAAATTCACTTTTCCCCTATGTTAAATCACCTTTTTTATCTTCTCTCTGGTCTTCAGATTAAACACTTGTTCTGGCTCCAGATCTAGGTTATTCAATGCACAATCAGCAAGACCTTTAACATACCGAGGCCAGTCACCTCCCTTGAAAACGCGATCCACAAACACATCAGCCACCTTAAATATAACTCAAATCAATAAATGTTAACAAGATACATGTACTTATGGCTCATTTAGACTACATGAATTTGAATATTTTGTTTATTTTTTTTGTTTCAAAAAGCTATATGTTTAGCCATGCCTTGGATATCAATCATAAATAGAGGCACTGTGAGCAAGCTCACAAAACTGTACTCCTCACTGCAATTCTTTGAAGGTGCCCATATACAATTTTCTAAATATGACCTTGAACTCTCCAAAATAACCTTAGTTTAAAAAAAAAGACTTTTACCTTAAATAATCTTTGAGTATAATATATAATATGGACATCCATTGTTTTTGATTTAGAGAATTATGGACCTGCCATGAATTTTCAGTGACTATGAACTTGTCAGCATGACCTTGGGTCCTTGGGTCAAGGTTATGTGAGCTCATGAATAATCTTTAAAGTTTTGACATCCAATACCTATCCATTAGAGAGCAAGGAACTGGACACAATTTCATATCAAATGACCTTGAACTTGCAAGAATGATCTTGGGTCAAAGTCATGGCACACATTCAAGACATAAGTAATATTTGTGTGATGTATGAGTGAAGTATGAACTTCCATTGCTTTTCTATTCGAAAGTTACATACTAGACGCTTTTTCTGCTAGTGATCTTGAACTTGCCAAAATGACTTGGGTCAGATTCATGACACACCTTTATGCCATAAACAATCTTTGTGTCATCTATCAAGTGTCAACTTCCAGTTAGCCTCTCTTCCAGACAAGAATAATACACTTTTTCTACTAGTGACCATGAACTTGCTGTAATGACCTCAGGTCAAGGTCATATGCAATATTTGTGATAAGTATAATTCTCTAATGTTCTACATTACAAGATATGGTCAGTACTTAATTTAAACATTTTTATTACAGTGACCTTTAACTTGATCAATGATCTTGGTCAAGTTCATGACCCACCTTCAGGTCATAAGCAATGGGGAATGAACTTACAATGTTTCTCCATTCAAACACAAATATTATACGTTTTCTGCCAGTAACCTTGAACTTGCCAGAATGACCTTGGGTCAAGGTCACAGCACACCCGCAAGTCATATACAACTTTTGTAACAAGTATAAGCTTCTGATGATTCTTCATTACAAAGTTATAACCCTGACAACGGTTATAACCCTGTCGACAAAGTTATAACTCTGACGACAAAGTTATAACCCTGACAACAAAGTTATAACCCTGACAAGATTCCATGGACAGTCAGATGAATAGCTGCAATACAGCTGAATGGAAAGAAAGATGGATGAGGTGATTCCTATATACCTCCAAACTTTGTTTGGGGGAGTATAAATATGGGATTGAAGACTTACTGCATACAGTTGAAAATTCACACTTGCAAATAATTTTGCCTCATTTATAAAAGAGAGGTGACTTTTCTCCCTATACACATTTTCTACAGCAATAAAGGAGCGGTTAAAGAACTATGATTGTGTAAAAAATTCATACCATAATCCACAATTCCTATGCTTGTAGTTAAATAAGAAAATCTTAGGAACATCATCACAAACAACAGATTTTTGTTTCCGATCTATTTCTTCAAACTGATTGTGGAAACAGAATGAACACAAAAACCAGTGGCTTGCATTGATGTCTTTATAACTTACATGAAATTATTTTTAACCAATATTGTTCAGTAAAATGGTACCAGTAATCCCATGTACTCTATCAGAACAAATCTAGTATTTTTAAATTTTAAAATCTCTCACCTGTGTGTCAAAAACATTGACGAGCTTGATGTTGTGACAATGGAATAGGTAATCAGACATTAATCTACAGTCATGGGTTACCTGTAACAAGATGAAATGTTAGTCTTCAAGATTTTTTAATTTACAAAACTTAGGAACATGATGGTACATGTATGTGTATTTCTGCATTGCACTGTGATGATTTAATTTTTACTGGTTTTGTTCTTTAAGCTAGTATTAACCACAAGGAGATTATGTGATGAATTATGTGGGTTTTTTTTTAAATGTACTGTATATACTCGCCTATAAGTCGGTCTGCCTATAAGTCGGTAGTATTTTTTTGAGGTTATTTTGGAGGGATTTGCTATTGACCCACTTATGTATCGGTACAACTTTTTGCCAGAATCAGTTGACAATTTCAAATCAATGCTCTGATGTTTTAACCTGGTTTCGATTAATATTTTTTAGAAATGACGCCGATATTTAATTTTAAATCATTAGGAAACATACATAATGCACACTTACGATAAAAAAGTTATCAAAATATGTAAATACTTGTACTTTATGTATAATTTTAGAATACATGAATGATATAATATATCCAGACCTTGTTCAATGATAATCGTGGAAAGTGTTTTAATACAAAATTCTACATTTTGCCGTCCAGAAAAATACTAATCTTTTTATGACTCGCCTATAAGTCGGACATAGAGTTTTGGACCAAAATTCAACTCCCAAAAAAAACGACTTATAGGCGAGTATATACGGTATGTAATCTGAGAAAATGTATGATGTCTTTTTAAATACATTGTATTTAAAACAACACATTCTAACTTAAGCATTCTTTTTTTTTTTGGTACATCCCCCAATCTTTCTGATGTCTACTTACTTTTAGAATGTCAGGATTTTCCAGAATATCTTTTATTCCTTCTTCAAAGCAATTTGCTGACAACTCAAGCACATCAAACAAAAATACATTTTTGTCAGTTGCAAACTGAAAATTACAATTAAAAAATATTATCTACACTTTACACACTTCTATTCACTGAGTAATCATAATGAAAAAAATTTGAAAAGCAGAAAGATTGTGAATTTTAATATTAATAAATGTTATACTTTTTTTTCCTTTTTATTCAAAAAATAAAATAAATAATTAAGGCCATCATTAAAAATATCTTTGTTTCCCCTAACCCGAGCCTAAAATTTGAAGTTGGGTAGGTAGGTAGGTAAATAATTTTTTTTCCGACAGCAGCTTTGAAAATACATTCTGAATTTCTGATAAGAACGGGTTTTCATGAAATCGTATTTTAAAAAAGTTGATAAACATTAAAAAAAAATATTTGAATAATCTTCTTAAAAAAACTTTTCAGTCGGCGGGATTTAATTGGGTCGGTTGCGTTAGGGGAAACAAAGGTATTTTTTATTTTGGCCTAAACATCAGGAATTGTTTTATCCCACATTATCAAAGTGTACCTATACGATGAAAAATTATAGAGAAAACCAGAAACAGAAATGAAATACTTCTTCCATGTTTAAATCTATAACACTCTGACCTTTCTAGAGTTACTTACCTGTACCCAACAGACCTCGCCGGATCTTCCTATACATACACCCTGCATGGCCAAACCTACCACAGCACAATTCAATACTGCATCAATCTACAATATGTGAAACCAAATACATTGTATACACATTAAACATACAGAATTTTTTTTATTTTTACTGTGTGAATATGCATAATCCTTTTTTCACATATACATGTATATCTTTCAACAAGTTCTGTTTCAATGAATTCTCCAAGCTCAATTGGTTAAATATTCGAAGACCAGAATGTGTATAAGTAATCTTACAGCATCTTGGTATTTCCTGTCCATTTTATTGATGACAACATAAGGGGCATCGGTGCCCCCTTCCAGAGTCTCCGGGTCACTGCTTGAGTCATAGTCAGAACTTTTGTTGTCTGTAAGAAAGACACGGAGACAAAAATAAATAGATATTTCATATATTAATCAATAGAATTAAAACAAACAACCAAAAATGTCCATAATTAGTACTGATTCTTTTAGCATTATAGTGTATCTTGAGTCCATTAAAACATTTAAGCAATACCTTGTTTGACTGTATTGTCTACACCATTACTGGCAATGTTGGATAATAAAACAGAATTGCGGTTAAAGTCCCTCATTCTCTGTAGATGAGCTGGTACATACTTTGAATGTATCATCTTCCTTCCAGTCTCTCTGCAAAATTATTTAATGTAGGGCCTACTGTGAAATCACTAATTTTTGTGGGGGTTTAATTTTCATTGTTTTCAAGGTATGGAGACACCCACGAATTCATGACCACATCCATAAGATCCATTACTAATCATTACTTCTCAAACCATGAAATCAAATCCCCACAAACTAAGATTTTTTTCTCAAACCTCGAAAAATTTGACCCCATGAAAATATGTGATTTTACAGTATTTGAATAATCATTTCATGCTAAAGATAAGTTAATGCAAATATTTCTTCTTGCACATGGATTAAAATTACAAATACAGTTGAACCTCAGTATCTCGAACATGGATATCTCGAATACCATGGATATGTCGAAGTGATTTGGAAGTCCCAAGTGCTTATTCCTTAAGCATTCTATCCTGGATATCTCGAATCCTCAGTTATCTCGAAGTATTTTCTTGGTCCCTTCCAGTTCGAGATAACGAGGTTTGACTGTAACTAATGATTTACAAATATCTACATGTGTAGCAATGGCAATTTGGTTTTACAATACATGTATTTCTTTCCTATAAACTTACTCCTTACAATTCAAGGCCTTTTGTCAATGTTCAAAATTCAATTTTGACTATTAATTAAAGAAAAAGGGTAACAAATAAATAAAGAGCAGAAAAGAAAACACTCTTCTGATAACATCAATTGCTCTAAATTATAATTCATCCTACTTTTTATCCACCAGTTTTTCCTCTTCATTCTTGCTTGATGATGGTAATTCTTTTTCAAAAGCATATACTGAAATGAAAATTCAGGGGGAAAAAATCTTAAATAAGTACATGTAACAATTTTCTACAAGACAGCTAATGGGGTAAAGTTTCCTGAGTGATTCAGGTGACCTAAAAATACAGTTCAAATTCATCTTGATAGTATTAATACAAGTCTAATCAACATGACAATAAATATATGATACGATGGTAAGAATGTAATGTGTATAGGTTCATAATGAAAGCTATGTAGCTATAACTACTTACTATTTTGTAATTCATTATTAAAGAAGTGTTGTATCCCTTGAAGCTTTTTCCCATCTTCATTGGTAACTTAAATAAATATAAAATTATAACAGAATAAAAACCAAACAATGTCGATATAATATGGACTACGTTTTGTGCATTGTACTGCATAAAAAAAATCCCTTGCCTTGTAAATTATGAAAATTCAAAAAAGTATGGAATTTCATACAGAAGAACATATCTTTATTTCCCGGAAGGTCTTGGAGTTTTTTTTTTCAGTGGAAATGTAATGCACTATTTTGAAATCCATTTTAAAAAGAAGTGCAAGTTCTAATTTTATTAAGACTTAGTGATCATATCATTTGTATCTTTTTCTCTCACTCTTTCTGCCTCCATTTCTATGTTTAACACTCTATGTATATATATCATGTGTGTTTCATTTGTCTTCAAGCTAACCTATCACAATATGTTCTTGTAAGTGTATATAAAAACAATGAAATTATCTACAGATTTGAGGTTTTACTAACTTAATCACAACTAATCAGGAAATGTTTATTTATAAATAAGAACCATGTCCTGTTTATTCAAGTGATAATCCACAGAGAGAAGTTATGTGACACAATGAGTGACTGGGTTAAAGAGTGACATGCTTATAGTTGGACCAGGAAATAGCCTGAGGCTTTAAGGCCCAAGGCAACAGTTTGAATTGGTGGTTTGGAAAACACACTCTGCCAGAGAGCCCTGTCAATAATTGGTTTTGCTTTTATCATGTGTTTACTTTTATTTATGACATATTCCACATATACATTGAAATTTTTATTCTTGTTGACTCATATTCAATGATCCCGTTAAACCTGATGATTAACAAATTTGGTCAATGATGTAAAAAATAACATCATAGCATCCAAACATTTCAATGACCAGTCCAACATCATATTTTTTAACCATCAATAAAAACATTAGAAAATTACACTTGACTTCTTTTATTATAGGTCTATGTTAGGAAACAAATTGTTAAGACATAAAAAACACTGGTGTGTAAAGTGGTGACAAGGAATTCTACTTGAATATCTCAATAATAGATATGAAATTCTGAAAAAAGTCAGAAAATGTAGTTCAGATGTGCAAGCACACTCAAAAAGCTTTATTCTTCAAGTTTTGATTGAAATCTTCAGGTAGATGCCAGTCACTTCAAACATGTGTCAAAGCAGTCATTTCTTTTCCTCTTTTAACAAAATTTTAGTCTACCTGTAACCATTTATTACAATAAAGTTCACTTTTCTCTTTGAGTAAATTTGTCATTTTTCCAGTTATAGCTTTCGAGAATGAATAAATCAAAAGTATAATAATTTGTAGCTATTCTAAACAATGCAGCTGCCTATGGTAAAAAAAAAAAAAAAGAGATGCAATGCAACCAATCTAAATTGTATGCATTTTTTCGAAAAAGATTCCCAAAACAGTATTTTTTTTTGAACCATAAGTTCGCTGAATTACGACTGAATCTACTACTTTACGAAGTAAGTGGACAAAAAATACCTTTGTGCAGCGTAAGTTTGCCAGTGTGTGTGTTCATAGAATGGACAAAGCCTTCATACTGAGAGCCATCTTTTAGGATAACCTTCACTTGTTTTCCAATATGCTCCATATGTAAATATGAAAAAGCAAGGCCTGGTTCATGCAGTGATATAAATAAGGCATACAAGGCCTCGGAGTCGGACTGATGGGACTGGCTGTTCTGCAGCAACGAGCCACAATACCGGAAACAAGGCTCTCACAGTAAAAGTTAAATCTTACCGATCACATTCCGATAAAATTGAATAAAAAGAAAGCTGGACAAGGTCATACTAACCAAGTACCCTACCGATAAAACCAAAGGGGATTATAGGCTTCCTCCTCGACTGTCTATCTGTCTGTTTTTCAGTTTAAATTCTTCAAAATCGTTTTTCTCGAAGTGTACCTCTACAAATTCACTTTGTGTGTGTGTTTAATAGTTAAACGAACGATTCAGCAAATTTTGACAGCTAGGCTAACCTTAAATATTTTAAAATAAGGGAATTTATAGTTAGTTGGTTGAAATTTTTTTGTACTCGTGATCAGCCAAAGGGGGGGGGGTAACTTTAGGAACTTCCTGTCCAAATTCGGCTCGAACGATTTTGACCAAAATGTACATACACATAGTAGATATTGTCATGTATAAGATATACAAAAATAGCGAAAATTAAACGACAGGAAATTTTTGGGGTAGGTGTGTTGTACATCCTTAAAGAATCAATGAAAAATTAATAACATATCTTTTTAAAATTTTCTCAAGAACCACCAGTCCAGAAAAGATGAAACTTATGTATAGAAACATTCTCAGGTAATGTAAATTCAAGTTATTTCAAATCATGACCCCAGGGGTAGGTTGGGGCAACATTACATGTAGGTGCAGATCAAAGTTTTACAGACATGTAGAAAAAAAAAATCTTCTTTTCAAGAACTTAGTATTGGGCCAGAAGAGTTGAAATTTAATTAATATGTGAAAGCCAGCCCGTAGCAACGGTTTCAAAAGTTTGGGGGGGGGGGGGGGGCAACTTCCCAAAAAATCTGACAAGCAAAAAAAAAAGTAATTTATTGTCCAAATCCTGGACATCCTTGCCAGTGCTCGACCTTAAAACTTCAAAAAGAGGGGGGGGGGGGGCAACCTGCATCTATAGGGAAATTTACTATGCAAAATATTATACTCAGGAAAAGGGCCCCCACCCCCCGCGTTCTACGGGACTGGAAAGCTTCACTATATAGTGTATATTCAATTTTGTTCAAATCCTGACCCCTTAGAGAAGGGTGGAGCCATATAATTATAATTCAAAGTTTGACACATAGGAAAATCTTTAAAAATTTTCATCTCAATTTAAAAACGGCAAAGCCATGGAAGCTTCTTCAGATATTGAAAGATACATGTTTGTTCAAATCATAGCCCCGATGGTAGGGTGTTGTGACTATGGGCAATCAAGTTTTACATTAGTCTAAAAAACATAGTAAAAATCTTCATCTCAAGAACAGCAAAGCCATGATAAGTTATATTTATATTATAGAAGCTTAGAAGAAGCTTCCTTAGGTAGTGTATTCATTCAAGTTTATTCAATTCATGATCCCAAGGAAGGGGGGGGGGGGGCAATTGATGATAAAAGTTTTACATAATAATATACAATGTACATAGGAAAAATCTTCTCAAGAACAGGAAAGCCATGGCTAGTCATATTCATAATTTATACAGAAGCATCCTCAGGAAATGTGGATTTAAGTTTGTTCAAAACATGACCCCAGGGAGTAGGGTCGGGCCACAATATGTAATCAAAGTTCTCCTATAGGAACGAACAGCAGGGCCATAGTGATTTACGTGAGCGTTGTGGTCCATAGACCTCGTTTCTAAATGCTTGTAGATATTAAGCTGATTTTTCATAAGTGAGTGCATGTACCTTGGTGAGTCATAGATCAAGTTTGCATTGTGGTAAAATATGAACGATTAGAATAACTTTAAGATCACTCTGATCAATATGAATGGTCAGAACTTGATATCTATTTAAACCTTAGTGTGAGCGAACAGCTTAATTTTTCATGAATATGTAAAGTAATGTTCAACAGCCGTATATGAATGAAGTTTATGACAACTAAAAAACAATGAGACACAAGCAGTTGGAACCGCTTTTTCACATCATTTTCGGATTTCTTCATGTACCACTGACATGAACCACTTTGTTTAAATTAAAATCTTGAGTGCATCAACAATCCTGTATAAATTAATTTGTAAAAAGTGTGTATTTTTTCCTTAATGCCCGTGATCCTTGTCTCGCACACAAATGTGCATGAACAAGGGGGGGGGGGGGGAGGGGGAGGTAAACCCTCCCCCACTAATTTGCCGATTTATAGTATATTATACAAAACATTATGCTTGTGCCTCCTCAAAAATGTCTGAAGACCTTTTATTGCTTGTTAGTCCTCCCTCCCCCAAAAAACCTGAAATTGTTCCCCCCCCCCGTTACTTCCTACGGGACTGTATACATTCTCTCTGTGCCTCTCCTCTCTCTCTCTGCACCTGTTTCAAAACAAAATATAACCTGTTTCATGAACGTTTTGTTTTTGATAGATATGCTATTTTTTTCAAATTTAGATGCGAAATATATGAGGCGTTCAGATAGATACTTGGTCTGCAAGTCAATTTTTTTTGTACTCCCCTTCTTCTAAGGAAAATTTGTGACTACATGCAAGTGTTTACCCCAATGACTCTTAGTGGTTGAAATTTACTGAGTATCAGTAAATCAGTTTAATCCTTTTAATATGTAGAGAACAGTTAATCCCGACTTGAATATTATCATGAATCATTTAGACAAGATGCATGCTTACTTCAATTACCTTAAAGCTCTTGCAAGTTTATATTCCTTTCTTTGTCCGACATAACACATACATGTAGAATATATAATACACACAAAAAACTTCTGACAATTTGATTTAATTACCTATCCAAGTTATTGGCAAATGACAACCCTATAATTTTAAGTAGCACAACTTCTAAAAAAAACACACACACAAAGAAATATACAAAACGGAACAAGATAAAGTTTTTGCGACTTGAAACTATATAGCCTCTGATTGTAATTCAGTAAAAAACATATTTAAAGATTAGCGAACATTTTGTGGACGGATGACCTAGATGATGTGTCTGATGTAATATCACAACAAAATACATGGAATGTGTTGATTCTCCTTCACAGATATTAGAATAACGTCAACAAATAATTACAGATCTTAACATATTAATCTTGAGATTCTACATCTAATGCACAGAATATATGCACAAGTATCACATGGTAATTTTTGTTAAAATTGACAGGTAATTTATTATACGAACAACAAACATATTTTGATATACAATTTGATAAAACTCTTGTCTTCATTTAATTTCAACAGAAAATTACTTCATTTACAAATGTAGTATATTTACAAATTATGAAAAAAAAAATTATTAAGGATGCACAGCTAATCAATGATATTTAGATACAGTAGTGCTCAATATGGTTTTGACATCACCTCCTATATAATACACATACAGTATTTCCTGGTCCCATTCATAAACAAATATTCCAATGCCAGTGTATTTATGAAGATGAAATGTACACTGTGCATAATAAATGTTAAATTTCAAACCCTGTATTTTCCATTAGAGCATGTGTATGAATGAAAAACTGAAAAAAAAAAAATGAGTTCATGTGTCAATAAATGTGCTTACAAAAAAATAACTTGTATTAATGACATTTTTCAAGATACATGCCTAAAGTGACCAAAAAATGTGTTCTATTACCTGACTCTTGGCATTGTCAAATTTTTAATATTTAGAATGAAGAAAATAGAGAAAGAACAGAATGTGTCAACCAAAATGAATGTTAAACCAGTAAACTCAGATGTATCATCACAATTTTAACACAGCTAATACATTTATGAACAAGATAATAGACAACGCCAAACTTTTGTACATCCCACATGTTCGAAAGTGAAAAAGATAAAGAGCTGATTTATGTATCATTTACAACAGAAGGAACTATTCATAAAGCATCAGGACAGAAGAAACAATGGTAACTCATCTAGCATTTTCATGAAAACACAATGAAAAATTTAATTTTCTAAAGTGATTTGATATTTCCATCAGGATCAATTTACTTCAACAGTCATTCAATAAAATTAACAAAGTAACAATTTCCTTAAAGATAACAATTTCCTTAAAGATCTAATATTCCTAGCACATGGTGTGCATTTTTCAAAAAATATGTGTAATGAAAAACAGCGTTGTATTCCATCAGAAAAGCTTCTTTGGCAGATGTATCTCTTTCGTTGAATAATGGCCACCTAGAAAAATATTTTTAAATATTTTATTTCCTTTCTTTTAACAGTTCATTATTATTTGTAAGATTTACATGACAGGTAAATTTTGTTATCTCAACATCAGGTATGTTGATAACCTGGGATATGTCAATGTCTGTACATGATTTTAGATGTATTTACTATATAAATGATTTGCAAAAACTTGGATACGTCAACCTCAATAGTGTCGACTACCCCGCTTATCTCAATGTACATTCACATTCCCAAAAGCAATATTTACCGGTACCTGGTATATATTGACATCAGGGTAATTTTATGCTATACTAAACCTGTTTGCCAAATGTCTCTCATCACACAAGGAAGACTCCATGTATCTTGACATTGTAAGAAATTCACACCTTTCAAACCTATGTTTTGACTGCACATTGCCTTATGAATTCTACAGAATGTAAACGAAGCCCAAGCACCCTAGGATGTTGATGAAACAGTTAACAGCTTAGGTAATATCACTGACTAGTAATTCCACATAATTATACAGTCGTTTATTATTTATTTATTTATAATATATCATAAATTCCATTTGAAAAAGGCAAAAGAATTACAATGAATAACAAACACATTGAACCCAATTCAAATATGTAAGAAACAAAAAGTCTGTGAGCCAATGCTCACTAATAATACCCCCGCTCTGATGTGAATACACAAGTTTGGTTACGGACAAACACAGTGATAATCATGAAATTGACATCTGATTTGTAAAAAACTGAATCCCAACATATAGCATGCCTAAACAAAGATTGTGCTAAAATTTCAAGCATCTGCGATGAGT